CCAACCAAAAGGGCACCAAATTTCTTGTGGACGAAGTGACGGGTGAGATAAAGACCAACAAAGTGTTTGATCGCGAGGGCGATGACGGCAGGTTCGTCAGCGTCACCGTCAAGGCTGTCGACAGGGGGTCGCCTCCTCTGGAGGGCGTCTGTTCTTTTAAGGTATGTTCGCATTCCCATTGATTTATATAGTTTTAGATAACATAGAGATTTGTATTGTCTTCTCATAAATGGTTATAAATTTTGATAACTCTTAGAGTAACTATAAAATAAGTATTATATTGGGATTAAATCAAATACATTCAAAACCATGTTTTGAAATGTGTCCGGATAAATTATTATTGCGATATGATTTAGGAATTAGAAACACAATACTTGTAATTGTTTTCAGTTTTTCATATAATATATTATGAATTTATAGCATAAACGTTTAGTTTTAATGTCATAAAACTAAAATAAATTTATAACATTGAACATCAGTCATTACTGTAGTACAGGTACAGTGACAAAATAGTTGAAGTTGGGAAGTTTTGTATTTATAAATCTATTAACTTTTATGTATCTCAATTAGACTAAATTTAGAGATATGAAAAGTTTTATAGTTAAACATATTGATTGTGCCATTCAAGAACTACTGTATTGTTTTTAATAGTGAACTATGTTATGGATTAGTGACAACAATAAGTGATCATTAGATTGATCTATCATACTATCATAGAACTGATTAATACGATGAACCTTATACTGTATATCTGGTCTTGAAATTTATATAATGATTGAGTATAAGAGATATAAATGATAATTATTTGGACACTGTATCTGTGAAATACCAACAACTTCTTGACAATACAGAGTAGAGAGAGAGAGAGAGAGAGAGAGAGAGAGGGAGATTTGGATGGTTGAGTGAATGGGCAAAAGGATGCTTTCAATAGGATTGGGATTTGGAAATTGATGATTGAGAGGAAAGTGTTGGACTACTGTATGAATGTCTCATAAGCTATAAGAGGATTATTATTGTCAATATTAATCTGAAAGCAATATTTCCGATATAATACGTGAAAAGTGTTTTGAATCATAAAATTACCAATCCTTTAGAAGTATAGAAAAATGTTTATTGAAAATTACAACCAGGTTGTTATTTGATAATACAGTATTAAATTTAGTAGAATTAAAGTATTACTGGAAATGCAATATTTAAAGCATTGAATTTGAAACGATAGGTTGAAATCACTGATATCAACGACAATCCACCGCTTTTTGATCGACAAGAATATAAAGAGAATGTCAAACAAGACACTCCTATCGGCACTAATATATTGCGAGTCTCGGCCTCTGACGAGGACGCGGACAACAACGGCGCCATTACTTACAACCTAACGGCTCCTAATGAGCGCTCAGACATTGACTATTTCGCTATAAACCCAGAGTCCGGTTGGATTATGCTTAAGAGACCACTCGATAGGGATCAGTACCACTTGAGAGCTGTTGCTAACGACAATGGATATCCACAACACAAAGCATCCGTAGAAATAGTGATTGATGTGGTGGACCGGGCTAACAATCCTCCGATTTGGGATCAACCCGTTTACGGACCCATTTCTATACGTGAAAACTTGGACGTCGGACGCAAAGTGATTTCAATCAAAGCGCGCTCCGGTATTCCCGATAACCCAACCGTTTTCTACTCTTTAATGAGAGGCGGAACGGAACAAACCAACAAAAGGGACAGCTTTTACTTAAGTCAAAGACTAGACAACGGTATTACATGGGCTGACATTCACGTGAATTATCCACTCGATTATGAGAAGATACAGCAGTACAACCTAACGGTGCGCGTAGAGAACAACGGTATACAACAGTTGGCCTCTGAGGCCACAGTGTATATAGTGTTGGAGGACGTGAACGACGAGATTCCCCTATTCATTGAGAGGGAACAGGAGACCGTTCTCGAGGGTATGCCTCCCGGCACTAAAGTAACACAAGTGCAGGCCATCGATAGGGACGGCACGTATCCAAACAATAAAGTCTATTACGGAATCGAACCCAAGGATGGAAGCGATAAGTTCTTCTCAATAGATCGCGAAACCGGAGAAATCTATACGAAAGCCGAGTTCGATAGGGAGGAGAAGCAGGCGTACGCTATACTCGTGCGCGCAGAGGATGGCAGTCCTTCCGACAGACCTAATATGAAACCCAAAGAACCAAATTCTGTGACCAAATATATCCGAATAGGAATCGGCGATAAGAACGACAATCCGCCGTATTTTGATCAACAGTTATATGAGGCAGAAGTCAATGAAGACGAAGACATTCAGCACACAGTGATCACAGTCACCGCCAAAGACAAGGATGAATGTAAGTCATGCCAAACATTTGATGCGATTCGCGAGTGTTTATAATGTTATTATTGCATAGCATCTAAAATACGTTATGAGATAACCCGGGGTAATCAGGGCGGAGCGTTCGCTGTGAAGAACGAAACGGGAGCCATATATGTGGCCGGACCTCTCGATTATGAAACCCGCAAAGAGGTACTGTTTCTATGAGTTGTTGTTATAAGACTTTTGTTTGGTTTTGATTTTGTTGACCGTTTGGGTTGTAAATGTCGTGAACCGTAAGTAAGGTATGAGTTGTATTGTCTCGTATTGCAGTATAAGCTGCGTTTGGTTGCGTCCGACAACTTGAATGAGAACTACACGACAGTAATCATTCACATCAAAGACGTGAACGACAATCCGCCCACTTTTGATCGGCCCACGTATGAGACACAGATCACCGAAGAGGATGACCGACACGTTCCCAAACGTATCCTACAGGTCATTGCAATCCATTGCCATCAGTTGTTCACTTGTGATGATGTCTTGTTGTTGCTGTTTGTCACCATTGAGTTCACCATTGAATGCCGATTTAATTTTGTTTATTATTTGTTTTAATTACATTTTATTATATACTGTACAGTATTATGATTTCTGCACGAATTATCGCATGAATTTATTTTGATTTTGCATTTTGTTTTTTGTTGTCCCGAACTCCGGTTCCCTTACTCTAGTATGAGCTAACTCTGGTCGCATCCGACACTTTACGTGAAAATCACACCAAAGTTAGAATCCGTGTGAAAGACATTAATGATTTGCCCCCAAAATTCGATCAAAGCTCTTATGATACCACTATTCTTGAAGAAGACTCAGTTGGTCTCCCGAAGAGTATCCTAAAGGTATTGTTCCCTAAGAGTAGACCAAAACTTGACGATAATGTCATTCACAAAACTTAACTCACTTTTGCATTCTTTGTTTTTATTATCACTGCTAATCACTAATGTATTAAATGTTTCACTTTTCCCTTTAAATCATATGTGATCTCAAATAATAACACAATTACTGTACGATTAGGTGACGGCAACCGATGGCGATCGAGACCGTCCGCAGCAAATCGTTTACTTCCTTACAGGTCAGGGCATTGATGACGAGGACCCGTCTAACAGCAAGTTTGCCATCAATACGACCACCGGAGAGATATACGTATTGCGACCCCTGGACCGCGATTTGCCGACCGGTCGCTCTCAGTGGCGGTTCACTGTATTCGCTGAGGACGAGGGGGGGAATGGATTAGTGGGTTATGCAGACGTGTTGGTCAACCTGAAGGACATCAACGATAACGCGCCCTTCTTTCCATACTCCATATACACGGGTAATGTAACCGAAAACGGAACGGCAGGCATGACTGTCATGACAATGACTGCCACCGATTACGATGACCCGAGCGAAGGACTTCACGCCAAACTCAAGTACTCTATCGAACAAAATCAAGTGAACGAAAACGGGGAACTCATATTCACTATCGATGAGGAGACCGGTGTTATCTCGACAGCCGTTTGCTGTTTAGACCGCGAAACTAATCCCGAGTACACCATCAAAGTGGTGGCAATGGATGGCGGAGGTCTTAAGGGCACGGGAACGGCAACCATTAAGATTAAGGATATCAATGATATGCCGCCGGAGTTCACTAAAAAGGATTGGTTCGTCGAAGTGGATGAGACGGAAGGCGACGGTCTCCCAGAAGTACCCATTTTGGTGGTGTCTGTCAATGACGGAGATTTGCTCGAAACCAATCGATTCAGTTATAAAGTGATTGACAACGCGTTTGGTTCGGACAAGTTTACGATGGTTACCAACTCCGACGGCACCGGTTCTCTCAAAGTTGCCAAACCCCTCGACTACGAAGATCTGCAGCAAAGGTTTGGCTTTAATATCACGATATCAGTCAGTGATAACGGCGGCGAGTCTATGGACGCCTATCACGTGGATTACGCCAAAGTGAACGTCAGATTGCGTGACATTAATGATAACAAACCGGAGTTTGAAAAACCAAACATTGAAGTGACAGTTCTGGAGGACTCGAAAGAGGGCACAAGTTTGGCCACATTCCTGGCCACCGATGCAGATCAGGGCGGGAAGTCTCGCGTCAGCTATCAAATCGATCGCTCGTCTGATAAGCGCCGACAGTTCAGTATTGACCAAAACGGTGTCGTCAAGATTCAGCGAATGCTCGATCGCGAAGAGACGCCCAGACATCAGGTGAAGATCCTTGCGGTGGACGACGGCGTTCCCCCGCGCACTGCAACCGCAACACTCACTGTAGTGGTCGGCGATATCAACGACAACGCGCCGCGATTTTTGAAGGATTATAGACCCGTTATAACTGAACACAACTCTCCCGGAAAAGTGGAAGAGATCTTAGCCACTGATGATGACGACAGGTCTAAAGGCAATGGTCCGCCCTTTACATTCAGAATGGATCCCAACGCTCCCGATCTGATCAGAAAGTTCTTTGACGTGCAACACGACCCCAAAGGCGCCAATGGGGACGGGATGGCAATCGTTCAGTCGAAGGAGAAGTTCGACAGAGAGACACAAAAAGAATATTTGGTTCCCATTATTATCAAAGACAGCGGCTATCCATCGATGACCGGAACGAGTACTTTGACGGTTATAATCGGCGATATAAACGACAATCGTATGCATCCCGGAAGCAAAAACATATTTGTCTATAACTTCAAAGGCCAGTCACCGCCCACTCAGATCGGCAGAGTTCATGTCGAAGATCTCGATGACTGGGACTTACCCGACAAGACATTCTTCTGGGAGGGAAACACTGGACACCCATTGTTTGATCTCAACTCAGATGACGGAATGATTACAATGAAGAACGTGACGAATGGTGAATACCTCTTGAAGTTTAATGTTTACGATCGCAAACACACGCAAGAAGTGCCCACAAATGTAACGGTTGTCGTCAAAGAGATTCCCGAAGAAGCCATCTATAACTCGGGGTCAATACGAGTGTCCGGTATCACAGCCGAGGACTTTATTCGTGTTTGGAATTATCAACAACAGAGACAATTGCCGTCAATGTATGACAAATTCAAGGATGTATTGGCGAAAGTGCTGAAAGTCGACAAAAATAATTTGGATGTCTTTAGTGTTATCACTAAATCAGAAAGACCTCCCATTACTGACATCAGATTTGCAGCCCATGGCTCACCCTATCAGAAGTCCGTATACCTCGACGGAGCCGTTAGTCTGAATCGCAGAGTTATTGAACACGAAGTCGGTCTCAACATAACATTAGTGGGAATCGATGAGTGCCTCTTCGAGAACGTGAATTGCGAGAACAGTTGTACTAATATTCTGGAGATCAACCCCCAGCCCATTGTCGTGAACGCCAACCGAACCGCTTTCGTGGGCGTCAACGTCGCGACGAGACCTAAGTGTGTCTGCGGTGCCCGTGAGTTCACTGAACCCGAGACGTGTCGTAAAATGCCGGCGCCCTGTCTTAACGGCGGCAGATGTACCGACTCGTCGGTTGGAATTCTCTGCAAATGTCCCGAAAACTTCTACGGCCCGCAGTGCCAGATGCCTGTCCGCTCATTCAAGGGTGACGGGTGGGCCTGGTTTGCACCCTTACAACAGTGTCAGGACTCGCATCTGAGTCTGGAATTCATGACCCGAACACCCAATGGTCTCATCTTCTATAACGGACCTATCGTTGAGCCCGTGATGGGAATGCGTGCCATAAAGGACTTCATTTCACTCGAACTCTTCAGAGGAAAACTCCGATTTCTGATAGACTTTGGTTCGGGAACTGCGGAACTGACGCTTAACCCTTCGGGAGACTTACACGACGGGGAGTGGCATAGAGTCGACATATTCTGGACTAAAGAGTCGGCCAGACTTATGATTGACAACTGCGTGGGAACTGTTGTGGACGAAGTGGATCCGCCAAAGATCGACAGAACCCGCTGCGAGAATATCACCCGAATTGTTGGCTTCAATGAGTACCTGAACGTGAATTCTCCGCTTCAAATCGGAGGCGTCCTTATGGGCCACAAACCGATTGACAACTACTATGACTGGCATTACTTGCCATCGAAGGACGGCTTCAACGGATGCATTAAGAACTTCATTCACAACTCAGTGATGTACGACTTGGGTTCACCCGGAAGCTCGGAAAAGAGTGAACCGGGATGTCCTCCATCTGACGATCAATGCAACGCCAACTCAATCACCAAGAAATGTCTTCACGGCCAGTGCGTTGGCACCTATAACTCTGCGCGTTGTGTGTGCGACAACGGCTGGTGGGGCGTGCGGTGCGACAAAGAGACGCAGTCGAAGATGTTTCAACAGAGCAGTTATATCAAGTACGCCCTGTCCTTCGAGCCCGACCCCTACAAGACTGACATCGAGCTTATGTTCCGCACGCGTCAAAAACACGGCGAACTCTTCCGCGTGGCCTCAAAACACGGCCGCGAATACTGTGTCCTCGAAATCAAAGACAAGAGAATCCGATTTAAGTATAACTTAAATAATTTGCGGTCTTCTGATGAGCGCGAGCTATGGCTGCCGTATGTGTTTGTCAGCGACGGTCAGTGGCATACCGTTCACGTCCAACGCTTCGGCAGCACTGCCTCCATATCCCTGGATGGCGGCGGCGGTCGTCGATTCAATGAGATTATAGACTATGAGGGTTACCATCAACTCCTTCCCGTCGAGAAACAGAATGTGATCGCCGGAGGAGATGTCCAATATGTCGGCCCCGGTGTTACTGTTGTGGACAATGACTTCCAAGAGGGCTGTATGAATGACATTCGTCTGGATCACAGGTATCTCCCGATGGAAAATGGATCTGAAAACGCAGCGGTCGTCGAGTGGAGAAATCTCTTAAATGGTAAACATTTGTAAACAATATTTGAATATTTATTTCAGTGTATAATTTAAAATTTACTCAATAGGCTGTCCCTCAAACAATCCGTGTGAAGGTATTCACTGTAACCATCCATTTGAATGTTTGGACCTCTGGATGATCCACGAGTGCAGGTATGGCACAGACTTTATTATTGACACAATACACGACTATAACAATTGCATGATTGCATGAAAACTATAACAATTGGGCTCTGCTTTGAACTGATATATGCATGACTTATATGGTGATTGGGTTATGGGTTGCGGTCTTACCATTTGCTACCATTGCTAACATAGATGTCCGGCCGGGTTTACCAATACTAATGACGGCAAGAACTGTACGGATTTGAACGAATGCGAGGCATTGAATCCGTGTCAGAACGGGGGCTCGTGTATGAACCTCGAGAAAGGGATGGGATATTACTGTATATGTCTGGAAAACTTTTCTGGTGAACTGTGCTCTGCTATGCGAATGGGAAAAGAGGTTCAGTTGTCGAGCGCTGCCCTTATGATGATTATCATATGTCTCGTTAACATTATGAGTGAGTATTCAACGCCTTCTCTACTAATTCTCTCTAATCTAACATCAAATCTAACATCAAATCAAACACTTGATGACTCAATGCATGTATTAATCAATTAACGGCAAACGCGTGACTAATTGTAAAGCTTTCGGTTTTGGGTTTTAATCTCTAATAACAAACAAACAAATAATTGAATAAAAGGTGAGAAATATCTATAAGTATTGCGATTCAACACTCAGTTGTCCGACGGGTCTACAAATGACGGGCAATAGACTCGGCTGTGAAGACAAGAATGAATGCGATTACCATCCGTGCGGTAGAGGCGGTCAGTGCTTCAATGTGGAGAGTGGGGGCGGCTATTGGTGCGACTGTCCCCTCGACGGCTTTCGATGTGATAACTGTAGCTGTGATGAGGGCCCGTATATACGACCCTCTTATGCTAAAATAGGCTTAGGAGGCGATGCCTTAGCCATTATTATATTGTCATTAATTTTCTACTTAAGTAAGAATTTGTGTTTTAATTTTGAATTACTCAAAACTACAGTAATTTTACCATTTATTGTTAGACTCTAGTGTTGATAGCATTTAGTATTTTGTAATTAAAAACATTGAGTCATTATATGGTGAAGGGTTTGATTGGGAGAGTAACCAAAACTTATAGACGAAATACTAACTAAATATTTGTGTTTAGTATTGGTTTTGGTAATAATCGCTTACACGAGAAGCCGTCGTCCGCACCATAAGTTCGGTAATGAGATGGACGACGATATCCGAGAGAATATCATCACATATGACGACGAAGGCATGTCTTCTCATGTTATGTCAATGTCTCATAAATTAACACATAATTTGTTGTCTTCTAAAGGCGGCGGAGAAGACGATATGAATGCCTACGATATAACACCTCTTCGTATTCCCATCGACGCGGCCACCGGTGCTATGGTTGGCAAAGATAAGCCCGGAATCATTAAAGACATGCGACAGAGACAATGTATGCATCAGTTATTGCTATCTTTTGTGAGACAATAGTTTAATAAAATTGATATTTAGATCCAATTGATCCGAATCGAGACGTTGGAGATCTGATTCGCGACAACTTGGAGAAGGCAGACCACGACCCCAATACCAGTAAGTCTTGAGAGTTGCCTCATTTGAAACGCAATCTAACGCTTGTGTTGCACTCAAAGCCCCTTACGATGACTTACGGAACTACGCGTACGAGGGCTGCGGCAGTACGAGCGGCTCATTGAGCTCTCTTGCGTCCGGAATGGATGATAACGAACAAGACTATGATTTTCTGAACCGTTGGGGCCCCAGATTTGCGGCCCTTTCAGCCATGTATGGACAGGGAGAGAGTGAAGACGAGTGAAGTGGCACTCCATTCTCACGTATATATATAAATATTAGCCAAATGTTCAGATCTCAACAAAATATCAACCATTTATTGTACATAAGATGTAACTAATTTCCGACCGACTCTTGAATCACACAACAAGTCATGACTCAATCGTCTCTTAATAACGTTTTTATAATTTTAGACGAAATTTTAATATTTAGCAAAAATACTGCAATAATGCCATTAAATAAGAGATGAAATCAAATCAAAATGATTGATGAAAATAGCGATCACTTCCTAATCGACTCGACCATCACGTGAATGAACTGTTAAGAGCCGTCCCATTATTATATGCCGTTATTATTGCACTTATTTTCCAATCAATTGTTTGCGACGGATTTGGACTCATAAACAGTTTGTGTTCAGTGCTTAACGATTGTGATTATCATTAATTACCACAACAGCCAGACTTCTCTAAGCAATGGTCGGCCAACTGCTCAACACTTTCTAATAATGTGTATCACAATTGCCATCAATTATACCATTTTGTGACACTTTTTGAATATTATATTTCGTGAACTATTAGTTCAACTAATTTTCAGTGATAATGTCGTCTAATATTTAATAACTGTATACTAATTGGTTGTCTATTTATTGTGTCGAAAACTCTTTTATATTAATTTATACATTCATTTCTACAATCGACCGACAATTGGGCCCAAAAACTGCCATTTTATCACTCAATCAATCAGTGATTTTAAAAGCCATTCAATGGACGAACGCATTGAATGAATGAGCCGTCAGTTTCTCAACATTCCAGTGGTTTTTGAAAAGGACTTCATTTCAAGTTTAAACCCTTTTATCGGCAGCTCTTGTGTTGCTATCATTTCTCTATCCAAATACGAGCCCTTCTATTGAGTGCCAACTAATCCACCAATTATTTGAAAGATTTTATTTTTTCTTAGTTTATATCGTAATAATTATTTCTATTATATTTGGTTGAGTTCTGAATATGATCTGTGATTTCATTGTCTTCTTCATTGCATTTCTATTTTTAGTATATTTTCTCTTTTTTTGTGCATTTTTTGTGATAATCTCTTAAATTATATTAATTTATTTAACAAATAAAAGTCATTCAAACAATGCGTTCGCATCGAAAAGCAACTTTTAGATGAAATTTAATAAATCATTTGAATTATACTTAAAACGACAGCTCTTTTATTACTGTTAAGACATTCTGCCATTCAATCTAACACTTAATAATCAAATTTTCAATTAATTTTTCTTTTTTATACAACACTTTAGCTCTTTTTATAACTTATATTGAATGTAACGACAGCTTATAATACGATTTAAAGTTTGAATTAATTTAATACAAACACAACCAGTATTTAATAACTGCCATAAAAAGATGTAATAACTGTTGGCAACACTAGTCAGTTATAATCGAGTAATTCATTGTAAACTAAACACATTTACATAACTCTTGATATATATTAATGATTATATAATTAACCCGAATATATAATTGTAATGAAAATGTTTTGATAACTTTTCTTTCGTATATCTCTAATGACATTAATGTTGAGCCAACTCTTCCTGCAAACCAAATGGCAACTAATGTATCGAAGATTTGTTTCATTGATTGTAAATAATTAATACTTAATAATAATTGGATGCCTAAAAGTGCCTAAACTATAGGCTCTCATGAGTTCTCAGACAACAACCACTCACTCGACCATCAAATTCAATGTTTGTATTGGATTTGCGGTCAAATATTATACACATTCAGGAGTTATGAGGCAATATGTGTGACATCCGATACGAGGCACTCGACTGGCGTTACCTTACAATTGATTTGTTGGCAAATAATGTAAATTATGGACGAATTCTTTCAGTGTAATCATAATATTAGATAAGATTAAGTGATTTAGCGTTTAGTAAATTGTGTGGAATTGTATTTATGTGCCTATTATTTACACTAAAAGTAGATATCGTTTCAATCAAACATTCATTTAAAAGTTTACAATTTTTTCAATTAAAGACCAATTTTTATAATTTATAATAAGATTTGTTTACATTGTATCGTTTATTATAATTATTAATTAGTTAATGACTTCTATTATATGAAATTTCAATTTGAAAATCTGTAACAAAAATGAGTCAAAAATAAAATATATTAGAATATAAACAATTGTCTCAATTCTTATGCAAATTATTCCGGATAACCTTGTTAGTATATCAAACAACAATTCAATATAGTGTACTGTACATTATTCAAACAGTTGCGTTTAAACAACTTTGTAAATGACAATTTCTATAACATTAAAAATTGTATATGCTAAAGACAATCATTTCAAAAGATTTCAAATACTTTATTGAGTCTTGTTTTAATTGAGCAAGTGACTAAACAATCGGTATGTTCATTTATAAAAATACAGTATAATATACAGTACCATATTATGATTGATTAAATTTTTAGTACATTCAAATTAATTATATCGGGTGTCCCTTAATATTTTATGCATGATTCATAAAATATTTATAAACTGTCTACCCTGGTCATAATTATAGTTATATTGCATACATGTCTGTTTTTTATTCATAAAAAATTGCGAATTTCTTGCGTAAGCATTGTTTCAATTGATGCGAGCATTCACTGACAGTTGTATTCCTATGGTATTACGCAAAATAGACATACATCCAGTAAAACTAAAATTATGGCCATGGTAGATAATTAATTAATATTGTATGAATCGTACATAAAATATTAATAAATTTCCAATATTTTGGTATAGTTTTTCTTGAAATAATATAATTGTAAATATTTTTTAATTCAATTTAAAATCCTGCTAATACGCTGGGACACCCTATAGTATATTTATTTCAAGCTATTTTTATAGGATATTTAATTGTTTAATAATGTTTTATAATGAAAGTATTTAAATACTATATTACTAGTATAATGAAAAAAGTTTGAAAACTAAAGGTTTTAATATGTTAAATATGTAAAGTTGTCATAAATACCCTTATTCTTTGTACTCCGTATTCACAAAAAATTATAAAACTTCAGTACTATTTAAATATTAAGAAATATATATTTTTATACGTGATTCGAGTGTTGTTTTCACATTCTTCTTATAAAATCCTTTAATTTTATTAATTTATAATATGTTTTATCTTATATTTGCAATAATAGTCGTCTTTGAGTCGTCGTACAGAATCACAGAATCTGTTAAATATTCATAAAAACTTTTATTATTTGGATTTTTCTTATTAAATAGCGTTTAATTTCATAATATGTTATAATTATTTTATTATTGTTTTATTGCTTACTTGTATAATACGTCAATTTGTTATGTTATATAACTTATGTATGCTTTAATCCTAATTGGGGTTCATTTTTAATTTATGATTCATTTCAATGTTCTAAAGGATATAAATGAGTTTGACAAATGCGCTTGATAAACCTTGAATATAAATTAAAAGCTTATTTTGTTTTTAATTTGCAATAAATTAAATTTAAAATTAATGTTATTATTTTTAGTAATATAATATTTATAATTATAATTTATCATATTGCAATAATTGAACTTACAACTTAAATAGAATACAACAAAGCACAGAATATAATTCTGTATATGAACAAGTTAGCTTAACCAACTATTCCAATAATTCAATTTTGATTAATTAAATATGTTTATGAACTTTAACTAAATAAACTAGTTTTTAAATATTATTTAAAATACTTTATAATAATTTCTGTATAGTCATAAATATAAAGAATATAAAATGTCATAATAACAATATTGCCACAAGTACATTTCTTAAGAGTACGTCAAGAATGGATGAATTGCATGTAAAGTAACAAATGATTATCAAACCAAATCAAAGTTACACTATTAAATAGTCTTAACTTATAAATTAAGGAATTAAAATTTTATTACTGATACTGACTGTCCTCTAAAAGTTGTATTTGAATTGTTTTATTACTTTTATTAGTTTAATAGATACTTAAATTTTTATACAATTTGTTGCATTTATTAGATTATTAGATTATTAACGCCTATTTATGTAATAATTATGATTTTGTGAAATAACGTCAAACAAAATGTAGATGTGATTAACCATTGTCTTCACACTTGTTTAAAACTCAGTGACAAACCAGTCATTTAGCTATTCATTGATTTGACGATCAAATCACACATTTTATGAAAGTTTTGAAAATTTAAAGAAAACTGGTTAGGAATGAAAGAATGTGCTGGATCACAGGCAAAATTTCCTGACAAAACTTCAAGTAATTGCTATTCATTGATTTGACGATCAAATCACACATTTTATGAAAGTTTTGAAAATTTAAAGAAAACTGGTTAGGAATGAAAGAATGTGCTGGATCACAGGCAAAATTTCCTGACAAAACTTCAAGTAATAAATCGTCTGATGATTATGTCGGCGATGAAGATGAACAAATGGTATTATTCGGCAATTCAATAGACAATCAAGTTTTCAGTTTGTTTTTGTGTTTTTCAAATATAACAGGAAATCTATTACTATAAGAGGACATGGATGAAAGTTTTTGTCACTTATATTGCGATGGGATTAACAGCTTTTTTGCTAAAATTGGTATTCTTTTGGCGACCCATTTATTGGTTGTATTGCACTCATAGCAGATGTGCGCCCATTGATGCCGATTATGTCCTCTTATATGTAACAATCATTTCATTCAATACTTATTTAATTCATTATAAACTAATAGAATATTACTGTATATTAGAGTTTTGTATAAAAATTATCTTAATATACGGTATATTCGGTGATAATTTCAGGACAAATACGATCAGGTCTTCACCGAAAAAGTCATTTCACTGAATGACAAGGATCAGCAAAAATATGTCACCCCAAAAGCTAACGGTGTGTTTGAGAGCACAGACACTCTCAGGTACTTTGAAAACAAGAAGATTCGTTACCTTTGGAGCGACCGAACCGTTAAGTTTGAGAAAATCTATGGTTTGGATAGAGATATCCTATTCTCGGATTTGACTCAACATAAGGGACTCACAGATGAACAACAGTTTCAAAGGTAGTCATCGAATAACAAACATATCAAATGAATGGTATGTCTTAAATGAATGTATGTCTTAAATGTATGATATATTCTGTCAGAACTATTCTGTTTGGAGAGAATAAGATTGAAATCAAAGTCCAGTCTTTGTTCGCAATCCTATACCAAGAAGTGTTGAGTCCTTTCTATGTCTTCCAATTGGCGGCAATCATATTGTGGTGTTTGGATGAGTACTACTATTACGGAAGTTTCATTCTTGCCATGTCTTTGGGATCCCTTATGTCGAGTACATTTCAAATCCGTAGAAATCAGATAAAACTTCGCCAAACAGTGGGCGGAGAGGCTATGATTGAGGTCTGGAAAGGAGGCGACAATTATCAAACACAAGTGTCCAACCATTTAGCGCCTGGAGATGTCATAGTATTGCCATCAAGTGGTTTTGAGATGGTTTGCGATGTCGTACTCCTTAGCGGTAACGCCATTGTCGACGAAAGTATGTTAACGGGAGAGAGTGTTCCGGTCATGAAATCAGCCCTTCCGGTCGGTCACACGGACTTCAATCGCAAGCATCACTTCAAACACATTATATTCAGCGGCACTAAAGTAATCCAAACTCGATATTACGGACACGAAAAAGTCAAAGCAGTTGTCATTCGCACCAGTTTTCAGACGGCGAAGGGAGAGCTCGTCCGGTCCATCCTTTTCCCAAAACCTGTTGACTTTAAATTCAATCGACACATCATTCAGTTCATTATGATTATGCTTTGTATAGCCATCAGTGGTTTTATCTATACATTTGTCATCAAAGTCCAGAGGGGAGACTCCATCGGAGATATCATTATCAAAGCTCTCGACTTAATTACTATAGGTTTGTAGTATAGGTATAGCTATAGGTCTATAGGTATAGAATCTAATTGTATGTATATTTTATAGCCGTTCCGCCCGAACTACCGGCCTCTCTGACAATCGCCAGTATTTTTGTGGACAATAGGTTGAGAGCGAAGCAAATCTACTGCATGTCTCCCAAATCCATTAATATGGCCGGTTGTGTGGACTGTATTTGTTTCGACAAAACCGGAACACTTACAGAGGATGAGCTTAGTTTAGCCGAAGTTTTGCCCACAGATCTTAAGAGCAAACACTTCGCAGAACCCATTATTAGTATTGATGAACAAGAGGTATCTCCTCTATTGATCTGTTTGGCCAGTTGTCACTCATTGACAATATTGGACTCCAATATAATCGGCGATCCGTTGGATATAAAAATGTTTGAATCGACAAAATGGGTGTTAGAAGAGCCGGAAGTGAAAGACTCTAATAAATATGATTTATTGGCGCCGACTATAGTGAAACCGGCAAATGTGTCGGGTGTAGAGGGACCACAGGTGGGCATTTTGCGACAGTTCCCCTTTTCATCCAATTTAAGCCGAATGTCTGTTATAACCAGACTATTAGGAGGGGACTCATTCGAGCTCTACGTTAAGGTACTGTATATTCATTAAAAGTTATATAAATTCATTAAATTTGATCGATTATTGTATCCAAAGGGCGCACCGGAAGTAATCGCAACGCTATGTGATGTAAATTCAATTCCCAAAGATTTTGACCGAAAGTTGAATGAATACACAGAGAAGAGCTATAGAGTGCTGGCTGTGGCCTATCGACCACTTTTGAACATGAATTACAAGTCCGTCCAACGGGCAGAACGAGAAGAGTTGGAAACTGATCTCATTTTCTTGGGATTAGTTGTTATGAAAAATAATCTGAAGGATAAGACCGTAGAAACTATCGATGACTTAAGTTTGCGATTGTATTCCTGAGAATACCGCTGGCCTCTATTGAATTACTGTCGAGACTCACACCGAGTTCTCACGGTAAACTAACCGTTTTTACTAAGTTAGTAAAATTAGCTATCGATATGTCTGTCGGAGGGAATGCCTAAACTGGAGGCCAAATACCGAGAAACTATTCGTGATTTTAATGAATCTCCAAAAGAAAAATCAAAAAATTTTGTTAAAATGATTCAATCATTTTAATCGATAGCTATACAGACAGCGAGGGAATGCCTAAACTGGAGGCCAAATACCGAGAAACTATTCGTGATTTTAATGAATCTCCAAAAGAAAAATCAAAAAATTTTGTAAATATAAATATGGATAAGAGATCGCATTTGGCTGTAACCGGAAGTACATTCAAAATAATTCAAGACTACTATTCATACCTTTTGCCGAAACTAATAGTTTGCGGAACAGTATTCGCGCGAATGTCACCCGAAAACAAACAACAACTCATAGAATTGCTGCAGAAATATGGATACATCGTCTCAATGGTAAGCACCGGTATCTTAAACTTGATTTCAAATTCTTTATTCTTTTGTTAATCCTATAGACAGGTGACGGCGCTAATGATGTGGGAGCTATGAAAGCATCCAATTGTGGCGTAAGTTTGGCCGAAACGGAGGCGTCGGTGGCCGCTCCTTTCACGTCAAAGACCCCAAACATCTCTTGTGTCCCTATTTTGCTTCGGGAGGGCAGGGCTTCGTTGGTGTCGGTGTTCGGAGTCATTAAATATATGGCCTGTTATAACATCACTGCTTTTATTGCTGTACTCATCCTATATTCGGTACTAATGTCTCACTAATGTTTCATTCAAGTAATCATTAGTAATGAATATATTAAACAATTTCAGTTTAAGTCAAACATAACGGACATCGAAAATCTATATCAAGATATGTTCGTTGTATCGCTTTACGTTATTTTATGTAAGTTTTTCATAAATGGTTCAAAACTTTTATAAAACCAATTGTCGTATAATATACTGAACAGTCGGTCGAACGGATGCCTATCACAAGTTGTCACCCTTTAAGCCGCCGACATCTCTCATCAGTTTGACTCAATTGTCGTCAATCTTATCGCATATACTACTTGTGCTGATCTTCCAAATGGCAGCCGTTGTCCTCCTTTGGCAACAGAGTTGGTATCAACCACACCATCCAGACGAGGAACTCGACTACAAGTCTCACGACAATTATGCCGTCTTCACGATCCAAGTCTTCCAATACATTACTCTCGCAGTTGTCTTCTCGAAGGGAAGTCCTTATAGGAAACGATTCTATACTAACAGTAAACACTCATTCAATTCAATACATTTTGCATTCAATTAATTATTATAATTATTTTTCAGTACTATTCCTGATCTCCCTTATTGTGACCACTGTTATAACCCTCTGGATCTGTATAGCACCGGACAGGCCTAACAATGGGATCGCAGACTTTTTTGAAGTATGTTTTAGCACTTGATTCTCAAGAATACAATAATATTTAATTGAATTTCTTTTACAGATTGAAACGAAAGACTTTACGTATGAATTCCGTATGATTTTAATCGGTCTCTGTTTCTGTCACTTGATTTTAGCTCTAATTCTTGAGGTATTTTGCAATTATGGCTCAAATGTGTGATACAGTGAACTCATATTGAATTGTGTTTGCTCATATTGTGTTTAGGAGTATATAATTGGGAAACTAATCGCAGAGAAATTGGTTGGACTCACGAAGGAAACCAAATATATGAAAATACAAAAGCAATGTCTGGACACCGATTGGATCAGTTTGAAGTGATAATTTAATTAATATTTACACTATGATTGAATTTTAAATTGTAAAAATAAAATGTAATAATATAAATAAAATATATACTTGGTTTTGAAAATGTTAAATAATAATGTTTAGAAATAAGGGCAGATAAGTGAAACGTGGACTGTATCTCAACTATTATTTCTTTTGCACAACTTTTGCACAAAAATCCATTCATTTCTTACAGCGCTATTGCAATCGAGTGATACAGTAGTCATACGACTGTTACTGAAATAAGCATTAATTGAATGAATGCTTGTTTTCATAGCGCTGTAAGAAATGATGCATTTTTGTTGTCGGAAGCGATTTTGAGAGCATTTGGTGACTCAACCTCCTTCTCAACCATAGCTTTCACTCTTAATTAATGTCACAATATATCTTATAAGCCATTGAATGCATACAACAATTGATGTCAACAATTAAGATTGATATTTATTGACAGATAATTCAAAACCTTTTCAAACGGTGTTTTAATTAAACAAACATTTATATGAAAATTTATTGTAAATCACTTTTTTACCGTTATTTTTTAATTTGTATTTCAAATGTTTCTTAATTCTGATTTTTTTCAATGTTAAAAATTATCAAATTATTTACAAATAATTTGTAATAATTTATTGCAAAACAATAAAAATATAATTTATTTCTTGCGTCAGTCAGTGGTTTGGTGTCACTGTCCGCCCAACACCTGTCCGGAGCCCCAGTTATATCGTCCGCCCCTTTGCTGGTTCTGGTCATTGGGTCGTTGGGGAGGGGGTTGAAAGCCTCCGTGAACTGATCCCCTGCCCGGCACTGACGGGAAGTAATGGTAGAGAAAGCTTGGCGTCGATATGAGTGGTGTTCCGCCGTATTCCTCGCGGTATTTGAAGAAAATAAAGTAATAGAGATGTCCCACAACTATACCAATCACTTCATCGACTCCTCTGTGGTAAACAAATAGAGACAATGCATGAGAAATGCTTGTATGGGTTCGGATGGACAGGTAGTACAGACCCGCCGCCCATAATAATGTTGAATCCGAGTAAAACCCACGGAAGGTATAGGGCTTTGAATTGAGTGCCGAACCAGAAGTTGACGATTACTTCTTTGTTTAGATTACACCAAATGTAGAGAACACTCAAAACCATGGGATCCATCAGAAGCATGACATTCATAAACAGCGATATTAACTGCCATTCAATTGACACACAAATACTCGTGAGTAGGCGTTAAGGCAATCATGTCTACAATACTCACCACAATTGAGAGCCAATTGAATATAAGAAGAAACAAGTAGTCGGCCGGACGTCCGTTAAATTGGTCTGAAATGTGATCACATATTGTCTTAAATCATGTCATAAGAGCACTACAAGAGCCAAACCTGTCTCTAATCGGAGGGAATAGCTGTACAAGAAGTACAGGTTTATGAGGAAATGAAATTTCATGGGATAGAAGAATAGAGCTGTCAATGGTGAGGTATTGACATGTTTGTTTAGTTAGTAGTTAACCACCATTGGTACCGCACTCACCATTAGTGGACTTTGAATATCTACTTCAGACACCAGTCATAGTACACTATCCCTAAGTGCTCTGGCTACGCACCGGCGATGGGGAACACCACCGATAGGCCGAACCAGTATCGCGTGAATTGTGGCAGATTGTTGAACCATTGCATTATCTCAGACATTGTCACCACTGGTTGATCGCCGTCTGGTTCACGCAAATGTTAACGAAAACCAAATCAAACCAAATGTTAATAAAAAACTTTTTTCCCTTTAAATCGAGTATTCATTCAATGAATGTGTTTTGCATTCATTACTCAATATATCAATTACGGCACCAATTGATGGCAACAAATGTGCGGATTATTTGAATCACAATTAAATACTTATTTTATATTTATTTTAATCAATATATGCTTTAAATTACAAACAATTTCTTATATTTAATGATTAGAAGTAATGATTTGAATGCAAAATATAGTCAATTATTTTTTCTGAACATCTTTTGAGAGCAAATGAGTTTCAAATATAGCTTTCATTTGTTAAACAAATTATAGGAATTTATCACAATTTATGGCATATATAGATGTTCTCAAACCAAACACTAGGGTTTAGTTTGGGTAACAGTAGAGTCTGCGCTTAGAAGAAGAGCCTCAAGCTGAGAAGCCTGAGGTCAGAGGAGAAGCCACAGGCTGACGACCTGTAGTTAGACATGACAAATGAAATCAATTTTAATATACAAAAGCTATAAATGATTTGTATGAGGCTCAGCCACAGGTGAAGTTATAGTAGTCACCTAGATAAAACACTTGATGAGAATATTTTGAACAAGAGTTAATAGAAGTCTGCTTGCGTAAGAAGGCCGACACTTCTGTAGCAAACCGACGAGTTTTGCGAAAATTTTCTGAACTTCTTGTAATTGACGACAGAAGAGCCCTTCCATTCGTCCACTTTGTCGGCCATCACTTCCTGTGACAATAGAGTCGAGTCGTGTCTGACTTTCGGCAACTTCTTGACATCGATCTGATCCAACCACTCGTTGTGAGTGTCGACCACATCATCGGTGGTCTCGTCTTTATTTTGTGATGAAATCTCATTCAAAGGCCGTTTCGACTCAATCGGTGGGCCATCGGCTCCGACATCAGAGTCTTGACTCGAAATGTCTTTATTTTGATCCATAATTAGTGACAATAAATGCGGTGATAATCAAAGACAGCAATGAATGCAATGATCTATTAAATTGAGTCCAAGTTTTGTCTGCAATTGAATCACAATTTCATTTCAAAACATGTTTTCATTTTTGAGTCAATATTTGAGACGTTTTTTATGGCATCTCTTCAAACAAAACGTGTCTTTCAGTGATTTGTTTGTCTTTTCTGGAGATAACATCTGAAGACATATACCATCGATAGGGTCCTATCATAGGGAGACCAGAGATCAGAGACATGTCATCCATTGACTTGGGATTCACTCAACACATCGACAAGAGATGGAAACTGAAGAACAAATACTTTCCGTCAAAAATAGGCGGAAAACCGGTGTTTCTGGAGCTGAAGACACTGCCGAAGTCAGTGGACATGAGATGTGGTAAATGTCAGCAAATGCTTAGGTTTTTGCTTCAAATCTATGCCCCCATTGAGACCAAAGAGGAGGCGTTTCACAGGACTTTGTTTGTCTTCTGTTGTCTCAACAATGACTGCAATTCATTGAAAGTCTTGAGATCACAATTGCCACGAATTAACTCTCAATACTCATCGGATCCGCCCGATTATGACACGGATGACCCCAACTATGATCCCAATCCGCAACAGTTTGGACACGAGTTGTGTGTTGTGTGCGGTTTGGACGCTCGGAACAAGTGCTCGAAGTGTCTGGAAGTGACCTATTGTTCAAAAGAGCACCAAATCATCGATTGGAAGGAAGGGAAGCATAGAGTGAAGTGTGGATCAGATGGCGATTCTTCGTCCACTTGGACCACATGTTCGGCTCTTTTCCCCGAATATGAGCTCATAATCGGTGACAACGGATCGTCGGGTGGAAGCGATTCCGAAGACAATAGCAATGACTCGGAGACCGAGAGAAGAGAAATGAGAAAATACAAGGAATTCATTGAAAAGAATGGATCAGAATATCAGACAAAGAATTTAGACAAATATGAAGACATCGAAAGCGATGACCAAAAAGTGTTCAATAAATTCAAACAACTTTCTGGTGACGAAGTGATCAGATATTGTAGTTATGATGCGCTACCGGAAGAGATGGAACCGCTGTGGATATCAAACCACAATAAGCCTAACCTCCCGGTCCCTAATTGCGAGCACTGTCACAGTGAGCGACGATTTGAGTTCCAAGTAATGCCTGTTTTGTTGAACAAAATCGTCCCGTCAGACCATCCACTCGATTGGGGAACTCTTGTGGTCTACACCTGTTCTCAGAGCTGTTCCCTCAACGATGACAATCCATACTTAGAAGAGTTTATTTGGAGACAAAATATTTGTTAAATATTTTTAATTTGTAGTAAAAAATTATTTTGAATAAATTCCTATTGAATTGTATATAATTTATTATTTGATTATTAAAATGTTTGTTGAAGACAATAAGAAATTAGATTTTTATGGCTAAACATTGATATATTCTTTGAGTAGGAATTTGATGAGAATAAACAAATTCTGTTATATCATAGTTTAGTGTCTTTTCTATAATTGATTTTTATATGACATAAGCGTAGGCCGGGAAAGGACTTATAATCCAAACCAAAATAAGACATTTAATTGAATTCCTAGATTTAAGCGAATCCATTGCTATTATTACATGAAAAGTAACGTAATTTAGAAAAAGTTTGAAAACAAAGTAATCCGTTGACCATTACATTCAAATTAGACTGAATTGTTTTATACTGATTTAATCTATATAAAGATTTCCTTGTACCGTAATATATTTCATTATGATTTAAGTAAAAATTTATAATTAATTAAGTTTCTTTTAAATTTAATTTAATGAATTTCTTAGATTAAAAAAGTTTAATTAATTGAGCATTTAAAAAAGATAGAAACCATTTACTCTCATGGATTCATACAAGTATTTAAACCAGTTTTTATATAATAAAATAATTTTTGCTTTAAATTCATTAAAGAATAATTAAAATAGATTCGGTTTTATATGTGAAAACATAACGAATGCTAAATACAATACAAATAATTAGAGAAATTTATCGGATTTGAAAACTTTTCTCTCGCAGAGTTTGACGGATAAGATGCCAATGGAGACGATAGTAGTGGTTATGTAGCAAAACATAATCGAGAGATGGAGAGGACTTTTGCGGCTAAACTCTTCTTTCTCGTCTTGGACTGCAATTAGAAATAATTAATTTAAACGAAATGTCAGGAAATGGTAATAAAGCTAACGAATGGCAACGAAGAGAATGAAATAGAAAGCGATCAAAAAAGTCCAAATCGATGCACTTATTATAAAGAACAGAATCATTATCTTTTGCTCTAAATATAGACCAATATATCCAATAGGAGTGAACAGCAAATGAATTGCTGATACCATTCCTACTGAAGACAAAATCCAATTCGTGTCATAAACATTGCTAATGCATAGGAGACCAACCATAATATAGATTAGTGTAAACATCATTAGTGATGCAAATATTAAGTCCGTTGCACATCGAGGGAAAGGGATTACTTTGAGTGTCACTATATCTAGACGGGCCATAATTCACACAATTGTTTATAAGT